AGTTAAAAATCATCATATGTGTTCTACTGAAGAAACAAAGTCACCTACATCTTGGATGCCCTGGGGGTAAGCAGATAAACATCACATTTTCATTTTTGGATGAACTATCCCTTTAAGTTTCGTTTTGATGTTCAATGGTTGAAGGGTGAAGAAAATAATGTCTCATTGCACCCAGTTTTTACAAATGCTACAGCTCAAACTAATTTGTATCGTATCTAACTGTTAACATTTTAACTAAAGTTTCACCCATAACTTGTGCAAAGCATCATGGGGAGTATGAAAAAGGTGGACACCTGGTGAAACCATAAAAAAAAGTGAAAACCGTACATCAAAATGGTCTAGAGTTCCTGCAGCTCAAACAGAAGCGTATGGCGCTAACAACACAAGTGTCATGGGTTCGATTCCCAAGGAATGAGTGAACTGATAAAACTCTATACCGTCAATGCAATGTAAGTCGCTTTGGATAAAAGCATATACATATAGAGTATGTTGGGTGTTTTTACATAAGCCTTTGATGACCGTATCACTTACTCACCACATCTGCTTGCAGTGACTTCATTCTGAAGGCCAACACGAAGGTTTAAGATTTACACAACACTGACTACTGACTCATTAAAGTGCTCATAAGTCCAAAACCAGGAATAATTTAACATCGACGCATGATCAGTCAACATATGCATGAATGTCCCGTTCCAAAACAATGGTAATGTTGTATTAGTGCTTATTTGCTGATAGTTTTAATCACTGTCGGTTTGTTTACAGACAGGTCAGGTGTCAACTCACCTACTGACACATATCAAAATCCTACCAGGATAGTAACACGGTATTCGAACATATCCCATGGTGGTAGTATTCTGTTATCTTGTAAGTACCTTGTAAATATGGTATCACCACCACTATACGGTTAAGGCTAGATGGCATAAAACTACTGGGCATGCGCACATCAACATAGCATATTTTTTCTCACACTGTACAACAATAATTACTATTTTTGCGTTATTGAAAGGGGTAGGTTTAGGGTTGGGGTAGGTGTAGACGTTAATAAAACAATCTAATAGGTAGAAAATTCAATGTATTGTTAGCTTCCGGTTTTTGCCTTCTAGCCACAACCCCACTATACCATAGCAGCCCACTTTTATAAAGGAAACCATGAATGAAATATGAGCAAACACACGTTATAATGTGACTGACAGTGTTTGACATCTTACCTGCGTGTGTATTTGAGACTGGAGCAGCTTGTGTGAGACTGGCAAATCCTAGTAAACACACACCTCCACGAAGAGCCTCCATCCTCACCACTGCAGCTAATCCACTACCTCAACTACCTAGAAACAGCTATTACATGTGTGAGAGAGTGTGTGTGTGTGAGAGTGTGTGTGTGTGTGTGTGTTTATTTTACTTTATTTATTTACTTATTTTTATTTATTTATTGATGATGCAGATGTATGAAGATAATGATAACCTCTGAAGTTAGCCAAAAATATATATTTTTTTCAAGGTAATGGAATCAATAGTATTTCAGTAACAGTTTTATAAGGCATTTGGGATAAAAAGCTTTGTTTTTGAAGCTTTGTTTTCTAAAGGCCACCTTTTTTGTTTCAGTTTGTGGTTTGAAAGTTTTTTTGTTTTGTTTTTTTTTGTAAGGAGTCTCTTATTGAGTCACCAAGGCTGCATTTATTTGATTAAAACTACAGTAAAAAAAACGTAATTCCTGTTGATAACTAACTGCCGGTCAGAAGTTTGGACTAATTATGATTTTTTTATGTTTTTCACAGAAGTCTCTTATACCAAGGCTGCTTTTATTTGATCAAGAATACAATCAAAAGCAGTAATATTGTAAAATATTATTACAATTTAAAATAAATGTTTTCTATTTTAATATATTTTAAAATTGAATTAATTAAAACTGAATTTTCAGCATCATTACTCCAGTCTTCAGTGTCAAATGATCCTAATATGCTGATTTGCTTCTAAATTATTATTTGTATTCAATTATTAATAATGGTTCTTATTATCAATATTGAAAACAGTTTTTGCTGCTTAATATTTGCGGAAATCATGATTTTTCAGTATTCTTATATGAATGATGAATAGAAAATTAATATAACAGCATTTATTTAAAATATAATTTCTTATAAATGTCTTTACTGTGCACTTTTGATTTATTCAATGCATCCTTGCTGAATGAAAGTATTAATTTATTATATATATATATATATATATATAATTGTACTGATGCCCAACTTGTGAATGGTGTATCATGGTTTCCACAAAAAGATGAAGCAACAAACAGCACCATAGCTTCATTTAATAACAGCAGAAGAAGGAGTTGTTACAGAATACATGAGATGTATGAAATAAAAATGAAAATGGTATGAAAAATAGCTTTTTATATCAAAAGTATAGGACATTTTGCCCTCTCACTATTGCTCCTACAGTGGGTACGGAAAGTATTCAGACCCCCTTAAATTTTTCACTCTTTGTTATATTGCAGCTATTTGCTAAAATCATTTAAGTTAATTTTTTTTCCTCATTAATGTACACACAGCACCCCATATTGACAGAAAAACACAGAATTGTTGACATTTTTGCAGATTTATTAAAAAAGAAAAACTGAAACATCACATGGTCCTAAGTATTCAGACACTGTTGCATCCAGTGGGGATGCATACTGATTATAATGACTTATACTGTCTTTTTATGCGTTGCGTCGCGTATCGCGCTGTGTAAACATAAAACCATGTCTGCATTTGTGATCGGAGAAATGACAAACAACAAGCGCTACTCTACACTGCTCAAAACTCACGTTTGAATCGTCAGTGGCAAATTCACTGCTTTTCCAAATCCAAATCCAATCCTTTAAATATGAAAACGTACTTACAGGCTGTGAGTCAGAAGCGCCACACTGTCCTTGCAAAGTTGGAACTGCCCCACTTTATAGAAACAGACACCGGCATTGTAAGCTATACTTTCCCAGGAAACAGTCCTCGTCTTCCATAAAATGTGCTGCACACATCTGAATATTTGGGTTGAAGTGTTCTGGAACAGTGTTGTAAATACAACTTAACCACTGATTTCTAGTCGTGTCCTCTTTTGGAAGACCAAACAAAGTAGTTTCGCTTTCACAACGAAACACACAGCGGCCTAGCGTGAGCGAAAATTGAAATCGCATCATATGACCCCTTTAAATAATGTTTCAGCAAAAGAAACTTCTATCTTTTTTTTTTCTTCACAAAAATGGCTTTGTTTCTCCAGTTTTATATATAAGGTTCTAATCTGTGCCCTTTACACAAAGAAAAAAAAAACACAAATAAAGAACAGCCTTCCATTAAGTGCTGTTAAAGCTATGAAATAACATGTATACACTGTAAACATTTCATCTAGCTACAACTTTTAATTGCTTTTAGTAAAATCAAACAGTTACGATTTATAGCGAAAAATGTTTTATTATTGTGAAATTATATATTATATATATATATAAATGAAATTATTATAAAAAGTTAAATAGATGGTTAAATACTTAATCATAACATAATGGTGTACAAAATGTGTAAAAATGCCTCACAAGAACAAATGTATTTAAATATTTGAATATTTTATTGGCGACAATTTTACTATAAGGTTTCACTTGTTAACATTAATTAACATAAACTAACAAACGTCTATAGCATTTATTAATGTTAATCTCAACATTTACTAATATGTTTAAGATCAAAAGTTGTATTTGTTAACATTAATTGATGCTGCATAAACTAACATGAACATAATAATTTTTATTAACATTAACAATTAAAAGTTAAGCTAACCCTTAGTTCATGTTAGTTAATGCATTAACTAATGTTAAGAGTGTTACTATTTTATTTTTTATTATTTATTTTATGAATATATTAGTAAGGTGACCTCATCTCAACACCATCAACGTTTTTGTGCTAATTCTATATTTTATTTCTGATTGTGATTTTTCAATTTGCAAATTGGTTTTGCAGTTAAGCACAAACCAGAACCAATTCAAGCCATTTAACCTCGCCAGCATCATTGCAGGTCTCAGTAGTATAAGCAGGGCCAATCACATTTCAGCTCATATACAAAAAAAACAAATCGCATCCTTTCAAACCAATAGCTATCAGAAATCAGATTAGCTAATGAGGAGGGAGGTGTTTTGTGGCATCCTTGGGTTTAAGGGCACGGGTTTCACGCTCTCTCTGCTCTTTAGGTACCAGAACTGCAGAAGAGGGTCTCTGTGTCTTCATTGCTGCTGAGGATACATCTGAGGAGGAGCACACATCACTTCCACAACGCGGCCAACGGTCAGTGTCTGCTTCTTGACATATACTACTGCTGTCAAGTTATTGTTGCTGTAGTCAGGAATCTAAATCAGAAATTTTCATTCATAATACAGAAGTTAATTTTTTTTCATTGCAATGCATTGCATCCTTGCATTTTCCCAAGGTCATAAGTAATATGAGGTTAGCAGCATTTTTGTTAATGCTTATACTACTTTATTGGTAAAATTGCTAATTTGAGCTGATACATATAAAACATGCATATTGATTTAGTATTTTGATGGCTCTCTAATTGAAATGTATATTTGTAGTACTTAGTTTTTGAAGAAACATGGCACTCGCAGGACACCTGAAGCAAGATGACATTGCAGCAGCTATCCAGGCTTGTCAAGGTGTGACTCTCACACACACACACAGACACACACACATGCAACTGATGATATTTATGCTTGTAATCTACAAGAACACATATTCATATGTGCTTACACATGATAAACAGCTTTGTTATTCTCACTAACAGCAACAAAAATAAAGAGCTGCTTCACACACACACACACACACACACACACACACACACACACACACACACACACACACACACACCCCCATCAGATCACAATCATACTTACTGTAATTATTCATCACAAATGGCACACAAAAGCATGTTGTCCAAACCAATGGAATATATCTTATATAGCTATTTTTTAATCACATACACTTAATTATGCTAGAAAACAGCCTAAATTTAAGATTTATTCATTTGAGTTGCATATACATTTTCCATATAATTTTAACATGAAATAATAAACTTAATGTGATGCATATTTGTCAGTAAGATTTCTGCACTCAAAAAAATCATGGCATAGTTTATTATTAACTATTTGCATCTACTGATTTGATTTAAATAATCATAATTTTAAAATGAATTTATTCGAGAATAAATCAACGTAAATCTGTACAATGTGAAAACAATTTATTCAGTTAGAAAGTATGAACATGGTGAAAATATCAATGAAAAAAAATTTGTTCTAGAAACAAGTTTCACTTGAAATTGCTAGTAAATTTGGCAGTTAATTACAAAGTAACATTGCATGTAACACATTGAATTAAACAGGAAAGACCGAAATAGTATTTTCTTGTAAAAACGTACTCCAATCAACTCCTAAATCAGCGATGGCTAGCTGTGTAACAAGCAATATTCAAATAGTTCAGTTATATGAGATTGAAAAAAAATTTGATTTATTGATCATAAATGTATAAACATGTATGTGTGACTGACAAATATGCATCACATTAGGTTTATCCGTTTGTTTATGTTAAAACTGTGTTCAGTCCAAATGGATGGAAATTTTATACAAAATGCATTCAATTTAGGCCTAAATATTTTCATTTTTGTCTTTCAGCACCGGGGACTTTCAACTACAAGACGTTCTTTGAAAAAGTGGGGCTGATAGGTAAAGCTACTTCAGATGGGGAGAAGGTGTTCAAGGCCCTGGACCAGGACAAGAGTGGATTTATTGAAAAAGAGGAGCTGAAGTAAAGCATTCTTTTTTGACCTCAATCACAACTTGTTTATTTGTGAATTGTATTATTAGTACATGTAAGTGAATTGCTGCGTGCTTGTTCCAGACGCTTCCTCCAGAACTTCTGCTCTAAGGCCAGAGAGCTCACAGAGGCCGAGACCAACAGTCTCTTGGCAGCTGGGGACAGTGACGGAGACGGCAAAATTGGGATGGAAGGTAAAGCCAAATCAGCACTTAGGCCATCCAGAATAGGCCCCTGGGAGCCGTACTCCTATAGAAACCAGGGCTCCTCCTTCAGTGTCTGGCTCCTGTTTCAGCCTGAGGGACTAATCAGCTGTACAAATGAGAATCTGACCAATTCTACTTCATTTAAAACGTACAGACGTACTGCTTATCTTGAAAGGCTGGGAATTCACTTTCTCCCTGGTCAAATTAACATGTCTTTCCAGCAGGGTGTTTGACTCTGTAAGTGAAGAAAATAACTTAGATCTGCATGTGTGAAGTATCCCCACTTTCATATTTACAGAATGCACAAAAAAATTCTGAAAAGTGTTATATTATATTATATTATATCTAACATTTGGGGCTTATTTGGAAACACCACCTAAAGATTTCTGCTAAAATTAGTCGAATTTCTTTCCAAAATAGATTTAAAAAATGAATTTGAATAAATAGAATACATTTTTAATACATGAATTGGACAATATTGACTGGAAAACACCAAAAAAAATGTGTCTGTGAAAAACAAAAACTTAAAGTGTTTCTTCTTTCAGACGAATCCAGTCGGAGTTATATCAAAAATTGTCTTTGATCTTTCAAGGAACAAATAAAAACTTGCTTCTGTAACTAGTGATCATATGAAACTGCTCAATAAAATGAAGTCTCCAAATACGGAAATTCTTTTATCCAGATTCCAGCTTTGCCTCATGTGATCTTTTATTATTTTCAAGTGTATGAAATGCATGACATGATAACAATAAAAAAACAACACAATAAATAAAATAAATATTTGAGATATAAAAACAGAATTTTAATTTTGGAGAGGAAAATCACATCCAAATCAATATAGGAATAAGAAAGCATTACAAACATTACAAAGAAAAAAAAGATATTAACATAATATTAATTTAATAATAGGAGGATACACTGCAAAAAAAAAAAAAATGTTCAAAGTTGTAAATAAAACAAATATTATTGAAGTACGTTTTACAAAAAATAAAAAAATTTCAGTCTTTATATGTCAACATTTCATGTTTATTTCAATGTGTTAAATTTCTTTGTGAATTTCTGAGTGAAAATTGTTTCTACGTTTGTTTGTTTTTTTCCAGTGGAAATAAGAAATAAAAATAATGGCTCAAATAATTTAAAAGATTATCAATTATTAAAAAAAAACTGAAATTGCATTTAACCAATCTGTTTTACACTGTAAAAAATGATTTTTCAAAGTTGTAAATCAAAGAAAGATTATTGAAGAACGTTTTACAAGAAAATACTTCATATGTCAAAATTGCATGTTTATTTCAATGTGTTAAATTTCTTATAAGTAATTTCTGAGTGAAAATTGTTTCTACGTTTTTTTCTTTCTCCAGTGGAAATAAAAATAATGGCTCAAATAATTTTTTAAAAGTTGTAAATAAAACATTTTTCAAGACAATAGTATTTCAGTCTTTCTACATCAAAATTTCCTGTTTGATTTCTTTGTGAAATTTACCAGCAATTTCTGAATACAGATTGCTTCATACTAGATCCTGCACCAATTCTTTTATCAGCGTACAATAAAACTGAAGGGTGTTATGAAGCTTTCATCTTCAGATTGCACAATGTAGGCCATGTAAATCGAGTAATAATTCAATATGAACACTGAAACCAATAATATCTCCTGTGCCATCAACACACACTTCTGCTAAAGTTTCAGTATCGATCATAATAAGCCACTGAGTGCTGCTGTGAATTATTCTTATCACGCAATGACATGATTTACGGCCTTGAGACGCCGTTTATTGCAGCACAGCTCTCCGTCCAGGGTTTCTAACCTGGAAGAGAAACCCGATCCGGCCCAATCAAACAAACACACGTTCAGTGATATATCTGGTGTGTTTATCAGCCCTTTTGTACAGAAGTGTCAAATTAAGGAGGAATGAAAGTACACATCTTGATGATACGTTGGGAACAGACATCTGCTTAACCTGAGTTGGCAGAGGGCCTCATGATCTATAGGGTCCCACAAATGGTCCTGAACATCGTTTGTGAGACTTAAAAATAGCCCAACTTGACTACTGGACACATTTTTTCGACACTATTCCAAACGTAGACCCACATGCAGTATCTGTTACTGAGCACTGAATTCCTGTAAATGGGGAGGCTGAGAGTATATAAGCTGGGACCCCCAGAAGTGTGAGTCACACCTCGACTAACTCCTTCGGTTTTTCACTCGCCTTAGACAAGCGCAAGGTGAGTCCGTGCAGCAGATGCATTCGTCTACAGAGGCTCGTCGGCATATTAATACTTTAGGATCAGGCTTTTCATCATTGCAGCACACGGACAGGGCCTGTGGAGTATGTTGTGTTGGTGACGGGGAGCATCAGGAGGCATCTGTGCTTCGCTGTGGAAGCAGAGGCTAAAGACGGGAGACCTTGGACGCTTGACGCTGAGGATAACTAGATTATAAAGAAATGACGAACGCTTTGCGATCAGTTAGTGTTAACTGCATGTGCTTTAGTGCTCTCGGCCTCTGTTGATAGGTGCAAATGTTTATGTTGCATCTGTGAAAGAGGAAAATCAGGCAAGGCTGATGGATCTAGAATTTAGACCGTCCATGATACCTGTGTAGGCGTCGTGTTTGGGAATACAGAGTTGTTTATTGATGTATTGCATTGCATAAGTTTTGTGAGGTGTTCTTATTCAACATTCTGCTATTTTGCAGCTTAATCAGAACCAGAACCAGAACCAGAACCATGGCCGTTGCTGCTATGCTCGCCGCAGCTGATGTGGATGCTGCTATTGCTGCCTGCCAGGGTAAGACATCATGTGATAATCTCACATTACAACTCATCACAACTGGGTAAACACTATGCCATTCAGAAGTCATTCGCAACTGCTTAACAGATCGGCAGTTCGAGTACATTCAAATATAAAGACGGAATAATCAAATAATGACATTTCTGACTATATGAGTACACATCAACTAATGATCTGTGAAGAACTGCAGAATGCAGTGGCGTTTGCTAATGATTTTAAAGAGATTAATTAAATATTAGCTGCTACCAACAACATAAATGTAATCTAAAGATTTGATATACATGAATAGACATTGACTCGTATAGACTAATAAATAAACAAATAATGCTTAAGAATAATAAATGATTGTAAGATTTCTAAGATATTATTATCTAATATTTCAGGTATATGCATGCAAACTAGTGCTGTCAAACGATTAATCGCGATTAATTGCATCCAAAATAAAAGTTTTTGTTTACATAATATATGTGTGTGTACTGTGTATATGTATATATAAATACAAACACATGCATGTATATATTAAAGAATATGTTATGTTTATATATTAAATATGTATAATATAAAATATAAGAATATAAATATATAAATGTATATACATGTAAATATTTTCAAAATATATACTGAATGTGTGTGTATTTATATATACATAATCAGTACACATACATATATATTATGTAAACAAAAACTTTTATTTTGGATGCGATTAATCGCGATTAATCGCGATTAATCGTTTGGCAGCATTAATGCAAACATGATCTAAAGGTTTCTGCTTAAATTGTTAAAATTTAAACAAAATAATACATTTTTAATAAATTAATTGGACTAAATATTAAATTACATAGGAACTCCGTTAACACTATTTTTTTTTTTAAATAACCTAAAAATGGTAGCATCTAAATTGACTGGTTTTATCCAAGTCAAAAATATTAATGTTGCCGAATCAACCCCCCCCCAAAAAAAACATTAATTTCTACATTAATTTATATACTACTTTCATAGATTAAATCAGGTCGAAATAGCTCTTTAAGATAACAATTACAGGTTATATTGATAGTTTTGATTAGTTGAATAGTTTTGGTCGATACACTTCTATGTAATATTTCTGTACTTTTGATTATTTTTATTCTTACATCTCATTTGATGACAGTCAAATGTGACCCTGGGGCACAAAACCAGTCATAAGGGTCGATTTTTCGAAATTGAGGTTTATACACCATCTGAAAGCTGAATAAATAATCTTTCCATTGATGTATGGTTTTGTTATGATCGGACAATATTTGGCCGAGATACAACTATTTGAAAATCTGGAATCTGAGGGTGCAAAAAAATCTAAATATTGAGAAAATCATCTTTAAAGTTGTTCAAATGAAGTTCTTAGCAATGCATATTACTAATCAAAAAATAAGTTTTGATATATTTACAGTAGGACATTTACAAAATATCTTCATGGAACATGATCTTTACTTAATATACTAATGATTTTTGGCATAAAAGAAAAATCGATAATTTTGACCCATACAATGTATTTTTGGCTATTGCTACAAATAGACTGGTTTTGTGCTCCAGGGTCACAAATGTGAAAAATAAGAAGAGTGAGACATGCATGTGCAAACCTTTGACTGGTGAATATCGAAAGGAACATACGGGTCTCTTAGTGAGCATCACAACCTATTTTGTCTATAACATTTTGATCAAACCTAAACTCAAACCTCTCTCCACACGCAGCTGCTGACTCCTTTGACTACAAGGTTTTCTTCGCCAAGGTTGGTCTGGCCGCCAAGTCCGCTGATGAGGTCAAGAAGGCTTTCGCCATCATTGACCAGGACAACAGCGGCTTCATTGAGGAGGAGGAGCTGAAGTGAGACTCTTTATTAATCATTCACACTGGATAGTGTAAAAGAGCGGCAGTCGAGGGCTTAATAACAGGCCTGTGCTCTTCCTGTAGGCTGTTCCTGCAGAACTTCAAGGCCGATGCCAGGGCTCTGACCGACAAAGAGACCAAGGCCTTCCTCTCTGCTGGTGACAGTGATGGTGATGGCATGATCGGAGCTGAAGGTACGTGAAAAATGGCATCTTGACCCCATGTTACATCTCAGATGAGATCAAGAAGTCTAAGTACTTTTTGAGCTTGGTAGTGGAGCTTGCCTTTTTTTGGTAAGAAAGCTTGGGAATAAACTCCACAAGTCGAGTAAAGCCTACAGTATATCACAGAGGAAACTGAAGGCAAACGGCCTGAAATTGTTTGTGATATTTGTTTGAAATCTCTTTATATATATCACAACATAACATCACTCAAGGCTTGTTTGGTCAGGCCAATAGTTCAGATTTCTACTCGCTCTGCCAACATTTACACTGGCCTGTTAAAAATGTACATTTGTAACTGTAGATTTTTACACGTATATTTTGATATTTGTGACCCTGGAGCACAAAAGCAGTCTTAAGTCGCTGGGGTATTAGACCCTAAAAATTGACCCTTATGACTGGTTTTGTGCTCCAGGGTCACATTTATTTAAAAATATATTTTAAAAAAATTATACTACACATTTTCCACACATATAAATGTATTTATTTTTTTTATAATATTTGAAGTTTTCTTTACAAAGAAAATTTGCAATAATATTTTCAACCCATACTTAGGAACACTAACAGGGGAAACATATAAAAAAAATTACATTTTCTAATTGCAGATGTCATTTTTTACATATATATTCTACTTAATTATACATTTATTCATGTGGAAAGTTTAAAAATACAATTTATTATTACACATTTTCCACACATATAAATGTATTGATTTATTTTCATCCAATCTTAAGTTCTTTGCATGGAAAATTTGCAATAACTTTTTTTTTTTATCCCATTCTTATGGATGCTACGGAGTGAAACATTTTTTAAAAATGTAAATAAATGCATATAAATATATTCACTTTTTCAGCCAATTTTAAGTTTCCCACACATATACATTTATTTTTTTCATTTTCTTTATTCTTCGTTATTGACATTTTAAGTTTTCAATAACATTTTATGGATGCCTCCAAGTGAAACTTGTATATGTACTTTTTACATATATATTTAACATTTACAAATATTTATTCATATACATAATAATATTCATTATTATACATTTTCCACATAATGTATAATTCAAATGTTGTAAAGTTTTCTTTACAAAGATATTAAGTCATTCTTGCGATTTCAGTTAGATGATCTAACAAGTTGACAAAAAGAATTCACAACGAAATATCACAAAAAGAAGAAGAAGGAGAGAAAAAAACATAATGTAGGGCAAGTGACAGTGCCATAAACTGAGCCGAAACTCTCTCACACTGGCCTCATGCCAGCAGGCCATTCTTATTATTGAGCTCTGCCACTGTCACTGTCTGTTTACTTGGCAGCATCCACTGAAGCTCCACTGTAGTGTAGGATGACGAGCAGTAGTGCAGTTTAACAACACTCTCAGGTCCTTTACAATCTTTGGAAATGAAATTGGTGAAATTTGCAGAATTGCAGAACGGTAATCTCATCTATGTCTCATCTTTGTCTCGTCTCACAGAGTTTGCTGCTCTTGTAAAGGCTTAAATTTTCATCTGACCAAGACCCTTCCAATACCAAGGAACCAGACCTCACGACAGCTCACACCTTTGTGCTGAACTTTTTTTTTATATGGTCTTATTTATGACTGACTTTGGACAGCTGACTCAGTTTTGATGAGGGTATTGTTTGTGTTAGTTGGATGTTGTATTTCAAGCCCACTGACTTGTGCACATGTACAATCTTGAATGCACTTCTGGGGAAGAGTGAAAAACGAGGAATAAATATCGTTTTGGTGTAACATGTCTTTGAAGCAGAATCTTTTCGGTTTCTTGCCTTGGCCGCTAATCAACGTTCACGCTGTCGGGATGTCCTCCCGGGAAGCTCTCATGACAATACACTCATAGTCAGGGATGTCCTGCAGGCCTTGGCTCTTGGCACGAGGCTCCGGAGATTTGCTGAGATCCACTGGAAGGGATTTGCAGAGGATAGTTTTCACATGCCCAATTAAGAGTCCATGGCGGCTTTCTGAATGCTCAGAATAGCTCATCGAACACTCAAACAAAGTGCCAGCCAAGCTCAGTCTTACAAAACCCATTAAACGCCATGCAATGGGCGCAGCGACTTCATTAGAGCAACTTGTAATAATGTGCTACTAACCATAATGGTGCATAAAACCATTGTTGACATTCCTAATTCGTATAGCTTTTAGACGATTTATATAATTACCCTTACTTCTAAATTTAGAGTGACCATATGTCCTCTTTTTCCTGGCCAGGATTTCTAAACTGCCTAAAAAGTCCGGGTTTTGTCTTTGTTTTCCTATTCTCTGTACGGTCCCCATATATTATACATGTACACGTGTTTGCATTGCTTTGACCGTTCTCTGTAGAATAGATCCCGCCTTCTCGCACACGATTGGTCGATTATGAACAATACCTGCATGCTATTGGTCAAACTGCTTTTCAGTCATGTCCGTCAGAAAGCATGAAAACAATAGGAAAACAAAGCCCGGGCATTTTAGGCAATTTTGAAATCCCGGACAGGATATGTCTGATAAAAACCAGGACGT